ATGTGCATCAGGGGCAGGTGAGGGCACCATGGGAAATGAGATCTCCACTAGGCGCATCTCAGCCCAAAGCTGCTGGGGCCCTTCCTCCATCCCTGTCCACTCATGGCTTCCTGCTCAGACCAGCCCTCAGCCTGGGCAGTCCTAACAAGCTCCTAGGTGATGCTGATGCTGCCACTGAGCACTTTGGGTATGAAGCATCTACAGCAGGGGTTCTCAGGGCATGGTCCCCAGACCAGCACCAACAGCTGGGACCCTTGTTAAAAAAAAACAAAAACCCAAACCCATTGCCACTGAGCTGATTCCAACTCATAGCAACCCTACAGGACAGAGTAGAACTGCCCCATACGGTTTCCAAGGAGTGGCTGGTGGATTTGAACTGTTGACCTTTATGGTTAGCAGCCAAGCTCTTAAACCACTGCGCCACCAGGGCTCTGGGACCCTTGTTAGACATGCAAATTCTCAGGTCTCCCCCTAGACCTAACATCCCTGCAGGGCAATACTGCCCCCAGTTGAAAACCATGGGTTAGACTGAGCCTTGGGGATTATACATGACCTGTGGCCCAGGACTCTGAACCTCTGGAGATCAGGCCCAGCCATCTGTGTTAACAAGCCCTGAGACCCACTCATCCATCTTGTAAGCTCCCCAATCCCCAACCCGTCAGCTCAAAGCTCTTATGGAGTTGAGTGCAGTGATGTGGGAGACTTCTGGGCAGTGAAGGTCAGCCTGGCTCTGTCCTTGCTATGTGATTTGAAGTAAGTCCCCACCCACCCTGAGCTTCAGAGCCCTCAGTGGGGATGTTGAGGGCCACCCCTTCTGCTACAGAGGATGTCTTTGCACCATATGTGTCTGTTCCGACTCTTATTGCAGTCCCTGCAGCTCTCAATCATGGGGCTCAACAATGCATGTAATTAAAATGTTCCTTAAAGATACACAGGTAACCACTAGAGGAGCTACAGTGTTGGCTTCGATGTTGGGAGGACAGAGTTAACGAAGTGGGGGCACAGATCAATTTCCTATTTAACTATCAGAGGACAATAACAGGTCATGGAATTGAGCACAATCAAAGTGATACCCAAGAAAGAGAGGGAATCTCTCTGTTGTTTCTCTCTCTCTGAATCTCTCTCTCTACCTGTGCACCCTTCTACCCATGGCAATGCAAGCGGAGGCACCTGAGATGATAACCAGGGCCGACACTGGGTGTGCATTTCTGGGTAATGAGAGTGGAAGAAATTTCTAGCTTCCTTCTTTAAAACTCCCTGTACTAGGTGAGTTTTTTATAATGAGCATGTATTATTTTTCATCATACAATAAAAATCATTACTTGAAAAATAGCATTACGTGCATATTATTTAGGAATGTGGAAGTCAATATGAGAAGAAACCATAAAAGAGTTAAAAGTGATTGTCTCTGGGGTTGGATGGGGAAGGGAGGTGGGAGCAGAGGACACTGGTGTGTTGTATTTTTTTTTCCCCCCTTTTTTTTTTTATTGCACTTCAGGTGAAGGCTTACAGAACCAATAGTTCTCATGAAACAGTAGTACACATATTGTTTTATGACATTGGTTAACAACCTCACAACATGTCAACCCTGTAACTTCTCAACCTTTTTTTTTGGTGAAAATACACATAGCCAAAGATACACCATTTCGAAAATTTCTACATGCAGTTCAGTGACATTGACTATGCTCTTCCAATTGTGCTGTTATTCTCACTTAAGATGAAAGCTTACAGAACAAAATAGTTTCTCATTTAACAGTTACTACAAATGTTGCCCTATGACAATGGTTAACAATCTTACAACACATCAACAATATCCTTACTCAACCTTGGGTTCCCTATCACCAGCTTCCTTGTCCCCTTCTGCCTTCTGGCCCTTGTCACTGGACTCCTGTACCTCGTTAGTCTCATTTGGTTTTACGGGGCTGTCCACTCCCAGGCTGAACGGTAAACCTTGGAGATAACTTCACCACTGAGCTAAAAGGGTGTCTGGGGGCCATACTCTCGGGGTTTCTCCAGTCTCCTTTAGGCCAGTAAATCTTATCTTTTTTTGTGAGTTAGAATTATGTTCTACATCCTTCTCCAGCTCTGTCCAGAACCCTCTGTTGTGATCCTGGTCAGAGCAGTCAGTGGTGGTAGCCGGGTACCATCTTGGTGTGTTGTATTTTGATTAAAAAAACAAACTTATTAAAAATAAAACAATGCCCACTGCAGCATTATTCACAATAGCCAAAAGGTGGAAACAACAGATGAATGGATGAACAAAAGGTGGTATATCTACACAATGGAATATTATTCAGCCATAAAACAAAATGCAGTTCTGATACATGCTACGAAATGGATGAACCTTGAAAACATGCTGAGTGAAATAAGATACAAAAGGACAAATATTGTGTGATCTCATTTATATGAAGTATCAAGAATAGGAAAATACACAGAGACCAAAGTTTATCAGCAGTTGCCAGGGGCAGGTAGGAGGGGGAAATTACTTAAGGGGGACTGCGCGTCTGTTGAGGGTGATAGAAAAACTTGGAAACAGACAGTGGTGATGGTTGTTCAACACGGTGAACATAATCTATGTCACTGAGTTGTACACGTGAAAATGGTTGAAATGGCAAATGTATTCTAACAAATGTTTTACTACAATAAAAAATATACAAAGAGAGAGGAGACACTAAAAAAATGAAGGTTTCAATCAATGTGATGAATTTATCATTTTACACATGGGGATGACGTAGGGTCATCCCCCCATCCCACCTCTCTCACTCGGATTCTCTTGATTGGAAGCAAGCACAGAGGGGCTAGACCCGGGTTTCCCCACCTTGGCACTAATGGCATTTTGGGTGGGATCCTTCTTTGTTTTAGAGTGTGGTCCTGTGCACTGGAAGATGTTAGAAGCATCCTCAGTCTCTACCCACTAGATGCCAGGAGCACCTTCCCCCAGTTGTGACAACCAAGAATGCCTGCCAATATGGCCTGGCATCCCTGGAGGGCAACATCCCCTGGTCGAGAACCACTGGGTTAGACTGAAAGATGGGGATTGTACATGACCTGTGGCCCAGGGCAGGGGTGGGAGAGGACAGTGAACATCCTAGGAAGCCCTGGGTGTCCCCTACCCCGGGTGCCCCTCACTCCTACAGCAGCCACTTACCCAGTCTGATATCACCCTCGAGGGTCATCAGCACATTGCCAGCTTTCAGATCTCGGTGGATGATCTTCTTGCCGTGGAGGAAGTCGAGGGCTTCCAGCATCTGGCGGCAAATTACCTGAATCTGGGGTTCGGTGAGGCCCTTGTCCAGCTCTGGAAAGAGAGGAGGACCATCAGATATTTGTCGATTTAGCTAACACAAACTGCTGGCAACTGAACATCAACCTCAGCCAGGTACAAGAAATAAAAAAAGTTGCCAACATTGTTG